ATGATTGGTGTGTGAGTGCATGGAAATACTCCTTAGTTTTTCTTTAAGTGAAGAGCTTTTCTTTTGCCTGCAATAGCCTTTTGATCTTTTTTTCCCATTTTGTAAATAATGTTCAGTTTTGTAATAAAATAGTTATGTTCTGATACTAGTACAGTTTCTATGGTTATAATTTAATTGAAATGACTTTTAAAGTTTAAAAATTATGACCATTAGATACTACTGTTGAGAATCTGTAAAGGGAAAAATAGCATGGTAAGAACAGAGACTTTACTATATTGCTAGAATAAATGTCTTTGTGCATAATGGCATTATGGACAAGAATTACTCTTACGTAACTTGTAGTTCTTCTCTTGTGAACACTGACATGCTACTGCGGGAAGGTTATTTATCAGAAAATTTAATAGCAGGAGTGGTATACACTTCCTAAATCACTTGCCTCTGGAAACTCTGTGAATTTTGGTAAATGTCAATAGTTGTAGAGGGGCTTTAGTCCTTTTGTTCATAGGGTCGCTATGGGTCATGCTCCGCTTGAAGGAAACAAGTAGTGGAAAACATCTTAAACATTGCCAGAACTAGCAGCCTTTGGCTACTTTGAGAACCAGTCACTGGGTTATCCCCTTCAAATCTATTCCTGCTGCAGGGTAGTATTTAGACTTTTCACAGTGTTTTCGAGTTCTTTGGGTTTTTAAAAACAAATCCTAACAGTATTATGGTGCTATGCTTAGTTATGGTGTTATGCTTAGCAATTGTAAATGTGAGTCAGCGCAATACATGTGACTTTTGGCTATATTGCAAATTTTTTTTTTTTTTTGCAAATACTTATTTTTAAAATTTATTTTACAATACCGTGGAAACTGTTTAAATAAAGATTGATTGATTTAATATTTTAACTTTCAGTGGTTTTCCACCAAGATTTAATATCCTTCCAAAAGGGTGCAATCTGACGGAAGGTCTCACATTTGGGACTCTTCTGCATGGGACTGTTCCCTGGCCTGGTGCTTGTCACCTGCGTGCTGCTGTTCCCTTGTGTGGTATTGTTCTAATTATAAATGTCTTGGTCCAGGTGTTGCTCAGATCCCAGTGAAGGTGCTGCATCATATAAAAATATATATATAAAATGCAGCTGAGCCCAGTGACTTTGGGATAAAGGATGGTGGATCAATCTCTACTCTTAAATACATTTTACTGGTGAAACATAGATCTCAGTGCGTTCACCTATAAAGAGATTTGTCTTCTCATCTTAGGCAGTTTTCTTCGAAGTAGCTTTCTTCCCTATGAAAATTCAGCTCAGTTTCACGTCATTTTCCTTATACATTCTTTGAGGGTAGAGTATGTATATTCAGAGAAGATGGGTGTGTAAAAGTTTTAGGAGTTTTATTTCCCATAAGGAGCTTCTGTGTGCTGTCAACAGAGGGTGATCAGTGGACATATTTCAACAAGGGCCTCTGTGGAAACACAAGTACAGGGTGAGTGTGAGTCTTACCCTCTGTCTGTTACTATAATGCACGATCATTAAAAGTAAGGCTGTTCATGATATAAAACTCAATTTTAACCAGTAGCTATTGTTCAGGTTGATTAGAATGCAATAGAACCAAGACACTGCTTTAAATTAAAAGGAAATAAAACCAGGAACACCACTGAAGAGACTGAGAGTCCAAGTGTTAGCTCTTTCATAGAGTTCATTAAGATCCTATTCATTGGGATCAGTATACTGAGTTTTTTGGCTTTAACAGAAAGTCCTGTATTAATGTGGGAGCTTTGGTGGTCTACTGTAAAGAAGTTGCACTGAAATCCACCAGCTATTCCACAAGAGTAGGATGGCAATACAAATTAACTGCCTCTGAAAACCTGGCTATGGTTTGGTTCTGACTCAACAGCACACAACACTGCTTTAAAGAAATGTGTATAGGATAATCACTCCCTTAAGCGCACACAGTAAGCTCTCCAGACACTCCTTCACTGACCTCCAATGGGTTCTCAGTGGCTATAAATTGTCTGGGAAGAGAGAACCCATTCTTCTCTCCTATACCAAAAAGCTTAACCAGATACCCTGCTTCCAAGCCTCCTCTTACTTAGCTCTATTCAAGGCAATTTCCGTAGGTGCTTACCCTTGTTAATTATTTGCATGTAAAATCCAAATTCTTTTTTGTAAATTTGGGAACAGGGGTTACTTATTTTATGTTAACTCCGCAAACTTTCCTATTAGGCCAGCTTGGAGAATACAGAGTAATCAAAGTCTAAAGAGAACATGTCCGTGCTTCTCTACCCTGACCATTTTGGTTTTTCCCATTTACCTGAAGATGGATTTAGTATTTTCCCAAATCTCAACCTTACATTAACTAGAAACATTTTACGATTTAAAACGCAGGCCATATATACTTCCCTGGGTGATATTTAATAGTTTCACCAGCATGGTTTATCAAACCTTTTGCCATAGATCTTCTAAACGTCCAAGGATACACCTAAAAAATTGTATTCATAGATTTAAAATATACACTTATGTTTGTGTCCTTCCATGCTTATTAAACTGCATAAAAGCGTGCTGGTGGCCTAGTACAGTGGTGTGCTGCATGAGGGAGAAAAATATTCTACTGCTGTGTGATTTACAGCCTCTGAAAACCTGATGGTCAGTTAGGAGTCAGTTCCTACTCAACAGATAATGTGAAATACCCTTTACTGAAAAGTTTTACATGAGACAAATGCGTACTCAGTACTCAACAATTGTGTGCCATAGGCTGGGGTATTACAATCAGTGAAACATTGTATATGCTGCCCAAGAAAGGTAGGGATTACCAAATATAGATTCAAAATACTACCCAAGGGAAGTTCATTTTTCTCATTTGTGCACATAGCGATTGTCACTGTTCAGGCTAAGTTTTGTAATGCTAACATACATACTGGTTAGATCAGGGCAGGGAAAGAGCCAGTGAAGGCCCTTATCTAAGTCCTAAATTGTAAGGAGCATCTTCCAAGTGTTTGCTTGAAACACTTAAATGTAGTTAGGTTCCATGGAAGCCTCAAAAAGTTGAACTGCCTGGTCTCCAGTTTAACACTGGAGACCACTTGCTAGCTCTCTTGATCCGTTGCATTGCGTGGGTGAAGTACCAAACTTTCATTTTCTAAGTCCTAAAGTCCTACTTGCTATCAAGACTGTCAGAATTCACTCCAGAAATTTCTGTAGACACTGCCTTCCCTCATATACTTTTTTGTTAAGGACTGTAAACTAGCATGATTTGTTCCAATATTAGTCTCACAGGTATTGGTGATGGCAGAACTGTTAACCAGCCATCTCTGCCGGCATTCTGATAAGGCTAAATAAAGTAATGGAATGAAGATGTGTATGTACTAAGAGGAGGAGAAACAGAGTCCCTGCTAGTGACACAATTCCAACTCATAGTGACAACAGTGTGTCAGAACACTGCCCCATAGGGTTTTCAGCACCAGACCTTTCCTCCTAGCCACCTGTTGAGCTAAGCATGAGAAAGAAAGCATCTCATATAGCTAGCCCCCCCCACTGTGCAAATTCTACAAAACTGGTATTTTTATACTATAAACAATAACAGAAGAGTCAAAAGACAATTTTAATAGACTTTAAAACAGTGTACAAGTATAAAACACTGGTTTTGTATTTCAAAAGTTGGAGGAAGATATCCAGTCATTAAACAGTCTACAAAACATATGCAGTAGATTACATAAAAGACTATGTACAATATAAAAAGAGCTGAAAACAGTCTTCACTGTAAAAATAATTTAAAACAAATTTTTTTCAATTTAAAATATTATCTATAGCACACACACATATCATGCAAATGGAAACTAAATACAATGCATTCTTTAGCCAAATTTCGATTGAGACATCTTTTATGTAGGGAAATGGCCTTTAGTACACATCTTTTTTTTCCTCTGGCAGTAATGGACCCAGTAATGCTTAAAGAACAGCTGTTTTTCAAACTCTTTTAATTGTAATAAATACTAAAGAAATGTATACTAATTTGGGGGTGATGCTGGAAAGTAACTGCAATTTTTGTAAAGTGAATTTTTTTTAAAGGCTAGAAGCTTCTGCAGCTGAAAAAGATCTCTTAACGAGTTTTAAGGCAGGCTAAACTTTTAAATAAATATGTTATAGGAACTAGGTTCACTTGTTAGCTAGTCTATTAGAATTTATATCATGTTCTTCTCCCTAATACTTGACTACCTGGTATTTATTACACCAAATTCTTCCAACCAGATCCATGTGGTGCGCCCAGCAGGGGTCATGGATTCTGGCTGAGTTGTCCAACACCTTACTCTGGAATTGGGAATTGGGATCAGGGGCCTGTTGCTCTCCTCATTAATAAAAAAGAAAAACAGTCCTAAATATTACACTCTCCCCAGTGGAAGTACCATTATTATAGATTCAGAAAGGCTTTGCTTATTTGCATCTTGGCAGTTTAATACTTGTGGAAAAGGACCAATGCAAGCTCTACCACAGTGATGGGAATTTAAACAACAAAGACATATTCTCAAAGCTAGAGAGGAACCCAGGCAGGCACTATTGTTCCTAAAGCAACAAACATTTCCAAAGCATTTATTTTGGTTTTGGATTAGTTTTATGAACCAGTATAGACATGACTACATGTCCACTGGAAGTACAAAAGCCGTCTTCATTTGAACAGTGGATTTCCTGAAGCTCTTAAGCACCAAGTCTTGCTAGAAAAAGCAAAAGACAACTGAGTGCTCTCCCGCATACTCCTGCTGACTACTTCTACTCACATTGCATATCATTTGAGATTTTTAAAAGTTAGCTGCCACAAGTTTTTTTAAAATGCCAGTGTTTAAAAATAGGTAATTGTGCTAAAGAATCAAAGATTTAGCTGAACAGAGATTCAAGGATGTTATACCACTTAATATTACAAAGAAAGTGAAAATACCATTCTTTGGTCTAGATAAGCTGTTCCCTTTATATTAACATTCCAATGGCTTTTTGAAAACTAGTATGTTGAAACTGACTAGGCAAGAACAAAATTATATACACATATGGATGTATCATACAGATGACCCTTTAAAAGAAAAAGTCTTGGCCAAGAGCTGATTAAAGATACTTAGTACCTTTTAAAATAAAGTTAGTGTTAAGTGTACAAGTACAGAAACAATGAGGTTAAAAATAATCCAATTTTACCAGTCCATAAATATACCTTTCTGGTTTCCTTGCTCTATTGAGTTCACAAGTAAACATTCATTTTGACATGCTCAAGTTCCTAAATGCTGGTGGAACAAATTCCTAAATACCTAGACTATTATTATTACATTATGTTTTGTTTGATGGATAGTTTATATCTTCTGCTTCTTGCTTCACAGTTAACACTTCATCAACTCCTTCTTGTTCAACTCCATCAGTCCCAAAGCCAGTTCCTCCAGCTCTCTCTGGAGCATCAGCATCCTCTTCCAATCCATTATAGAAGTCTTCCATCTCACTTTCATCCTCCAAGGGTTCTTCTAAACTTGGACTGTGGCACGTTCCACTATCACTGTTACTGCCACAAGAACTAGAGGATAAGATGTCATCTTCAGAATCAGAATATACCTCCGCACCATGGAAAATGTAACGATTTGGTGGTAAAAACAGATACTGATTACCTGAAATACAGTACAACAATAAATGTTATTTTCCATTCTCTAAAACTAATTCAACTTAAGGCTGACTGGGCAGCACAGAAAAGGCCTCGGTAATCTATTGGCTTAAATTACTGTCAGAACCAAGTATCATTATCACTTGCTATGGTGCTTTTAAAAACAAAGTTTCAACTCAGTTCTAGATCTAGATCTTAGTTCTGCCATGTACTACCTTTCTAAATGTAGGTAGTTTGTTTCTACTTCAATTTCTGTGTTTGGAGAAATAAGGAAAACTTTGTTAAATTAACTAATGTCTTTAAGAAGATCTGCTAAGAATGTGTATTTCATTTCTAGCAGAGCCTACATGCAATAGCCAATTCATGTTCATAAACATCTTAATTTTATAAGCCCAAAATTAAAATTAATTTGTCTTCAACCCATTTGAAATGTGGTCTGTTCCACCACACCATGAGCTACTAAGTAAAGAATCTGTTTTTACAAAAGCCCTGTGCCTCTCATTTTAGCTTCAAGTCAGAACTAACTGTCCATTAGGTTTTCAGAGGCAATAAATCACCCAGGAGGTGAGTGCCAATCTTTCTGCAGAGCACCTGGTGGATTTGAACCACATGCCTTCGTGTTGGCAGCACAACTTCTTGCCCACTTAGGCCACTGATTTAATGGGCTTACCCTTTCTTTCCAGTACTCTGCTCAAATTTGTATCCACAGTATATTTCACCAGGAGTGGTGCCCTTCATCCCCCTAAGCAAGGCCCCAGGGCAGAAGCCCCTCAAAGAGGGTATCTGCTGTGAACACTGCAGTAAAGAGCTACCAATCCTCCCATGGGTCACATTTGGGTTCTTTGTATACACTGTAATTTTTAAAAGGGAATTAAAAGAAAACTAAAAACGTAATCACAAAGCCTATTTTTACATCATATTAAATGTTGTATTACATAATTTAAAAAAACACCCGAGGTCCATTAGAATGCCATATCATCTACCAAGCACACAAACACACTTCTCTTCAAAGTGACTTTCAAAATTTATGTGTGCTTCATAGACCCCGACATCACCTTGGAAACCCATTAGCAGAGTTCTATGAGCCAGAACAAGCTAAAAGCAGTGGATTTGGATTTTGAAAAAAATTAATTTCAGAAAACCCACTCAGCATTTCCAATTGGGCCATCTCCTGTGAGGCTCCTCCTCTACGGAATCCCAGCACATGACCTCTGGACTCTTGCTTTTTATAGCCTGAACCATATTATTCTGCCCTGACACCCACAAAGAATGGGAAAATCTGTTTCTCAAACTAAATACCCTATGCATAAATTAATTGCCACTGTGTTTGTTTCAATTCACAGCTGACCCTCTGTTGAGTTTCTGAATTCAAGACAGGGAAACTGTCATCTCTCTTCCTTAGAACAGTTGTGGCTTCATCCTCCCAGAGAAGTGCAGCCTTTGGCACTAGCAGCACAACTCCCAACAGATCATGTACCAAACTAGAACCATAGACCTGTCTGATTTGCTGACATGATAACCATGAAAGCAGATGAAAATTTACTCCATAATGCTCCTTTTTCCTTTTACCTCTCCACATAAGAAGTATCTTAAATGGGTGATTAATGTCTAATAGTTACCATTTTAATTCTCCATTCTATGACATGATGCATGTGTTCTTACTCCCTTCTACAGATTAGGACTGACAGATTAAATAACTTTGTCCAAGGTGAATGTGAGACAATGCAAGTCTATGATTCCAAAACACAATAAAAACTCTTTTTAAGCCAAGAATTGCTTAAACCATCTATTAAAAAGATATTAAATTCCCAGTTAAACAAAACCTTTTTTTATCATTAAAAAGAGCTCTGGTGATCTATTGGTTATAAGTTGCACTGCCAACTCAAAGGTAAACAGTTTGAATCCACTCACTATTCCAAGGGAGAAAGATGGGGCTCTTCTCCCATGGAATTTACAGCCTCCAAAAGTTCACTGGAAAGGCCACTGTAGGTCAGTTCTAACACAACAGTACATAACAATTGAAATGAATTAAAAATTACCACTTACGGCGTTCAAATTCTTTTGCATGAAGCAACTAATATTACATGTAGAACACCTATTCATTTACTTAAAAAACTGTTTTTAATAAAAGTAAAAATAACCCAGAGCAAATTTTCCTACTTCTTCTGATACTTGCTGAGTCTGCAAACAAGGGATTGTCTCTGCACTTGTTTCCCACTGTTCAAGCCAGGTTTTGGATAGTCCTGCCACTTCAATCTTGGCTGATGCAGCAAAACCAGAAAGGAACCAAATGTTTTAAATGTTGAGTAAAATGGAATGGGCAAACACATGAGTAGATGCCCTCTCTCCAAAAGCAGCCTCATTGCACAGCAAACAAATCCCTTGCCTGGCAGTCAGATACACGGCCCAGTCCCAGCTGGAGCAGCTTTGACTCACGCTCCACAGTTTTGGTAAGAATCCAATTTCCTGTATAGGTTTTTCTGAAAGGGTTTCCTATGCTTCTAAGTCTCCCATTCTAGGGCTTCCACTTTTAAGTCCTGTTCCATTTACTGTTCCAATGTGCCACCATTTTACAAACTTGGTTTTGGTCCCATTTGCTGAATCAGCTATGGCTGAAAAAAACAAAGTATTCTGAAACGTGTCAATCTCCCTCGGAGCAGAAGGTACTTTCAGGGTGTTCTGGTAACTTTGCTTCAACAGCACCTGCACTAGCATGTATTAGTGAATACTGATCATATTTAAAACCAATTATACACAAACATTACTAGAATGTGAAAGCATATCATTCATTCATCTGTCACCACCTCCAAAACTACTGCCCACTGTGTGCCATCAAGTCAGAACCATTATATTACTGACTTTCCAAGCAGCTATAAATCACGCAAATGTTAACTGCCCCTCTTTCTCCCATGTAGCCGCTGGTGGATTCGCACTGCCTGCTTTCAGGTTGCAGCTTTTTACCACAAGCCCACCAGAGCTCCCTAGTACAATGCCTAGCATGACAAAATGACCCAAAATTTTATTCATTTGAACTGAAAGTATCTTTCCAGCAAATGATTACACCACATTTGTCTAAAAGGTCTTGTTTCCACCAGTATCATAAATAGAATGGTACTTAAACTTCCCCACTGTACAAGACTGCTTATGAGCAAAAGGCCAGATGACAGACCTGAGTGGCCAGTCTAGCCAGCTCTAACGATTTGTTGGGAAGGAAGTAAGCTGCCAACGCAGAAGTATGGTTTGCCCTGTGCACTACTACTTGGCCATGGGCCTCAACAAGGGCGACACCGTAAAGTAGGACGTGAGCAATCTGAGATATAGCTGCCGCCGCAGGCGCCTCACCAGGCAAACCAAGTTCATAACTCTGGAGGTGTGTGGCTTTGCCTATGAGTGCCACACCAAGGAACTGCTCAAGGTCTCCAAGGAGAAGTGGGACCTCAAGTTCATCAAGAATAGGGTAGAGACACACAACTGCACCAAGAGGAAATGAGAACAATGTCCTGGCTGCTAGGAGGAAGGCAGCTGCCAAGGAGTGAGCGCAGCCCACTGTCCCCCCAAAGCCCTCAACTACTTCTCATCTGTTGTTAGACAACTATGACTCCTCATGACTATGCACAATAGATCTGAAGCCTACTCTATCCTGAGCCAATATCACTGTCTCCCAACACACCAACCCTCACTGCTCCAGTTACTGTATCAATCCACCTCATCTGTGGTCTGCCTCTCCTGAATGGTCCCTCTATACCCTCCCAAGCATGATGTCCTTCTCCAAGGACTTGTGCCTCCCGACAACATGCCCAAAGTAGTATGAGATGGAGCCTCAAAATCCTAGCTGCTATTAAAAGTTCATGAATAGTTTTACAAGAGAAGAATGAGGTGTTCTATTCCCATAAAATAAACAGACTTGGAAACCCTTTGGGTGATTCTACTATCAGTTGCTCTGAGAACTGACTCCTAAGGGTAGGTTTTGGGTTTTGTGATCCTTGGCATTTCCACCTATGGCAGGTTTGTAAAGCTGCCAGTAGATATTGGCAGAGCATGCGATTTTCTTCTCAATCTCGTACTCATCTTCCCTTCCTCTAGAACACACAACATGCAGAGCATAGTCTGCAAGGGTGTTTCCTCCCTCTATTACCCAAGATGGCTTTCTCGTGGCCTAGTGGCAAGAAACTGCAGTGCAATCCTGGAGGCATGCAGTTCGAGGCCACCAGCTACTCTGCAGGAGAAGACGGGTAATCTCCTCCTGTGCAATTAACTGCCTCTGAAAACCACTGGAGGGTCAACTAGGGGTCAGTTCTGACTCTATAGTAAACAATAACAATTATGCAATGTACCCTCTAGTTTTTCTCTAGATTAAATTATCTTTACTTTTTGTATGCACAACTGTCACCATTCGGCTGTCAAAAGCTTCTATAGTAAATAAAATGCTGGTTTCTTGCAAATACTTTAACAATATTATACTTTCAAAAGTATCTATCCCCCTTTCTTACCATCAAGTCGCTTACTAATCTGCTCCTTTGCAAGTCTAAGAGGCCAGCACTTTCTCACTGTTTCGGCAACTGAAGTTCTTTCATTTTTCTCCCCAGTAGTGGAGTCAAAGTTCTTCAAATCAGGACTCTCCAACTGTTCAGTAATACTTTCAGTGTTTCTAGTGGAAATTTGTACTTCCTGTGATTTTTCTTCCACACCCACTTTTGATTCACACATTTCTGAATCATCAATATTACTCTTGGTTGCTTGTTCTAAAAGAGTGACATTCACTGAAGAATCTGGTGGTGAAGTTCTTTCTGGTGAACTAGAGTCTTCTGAAATATTAAGCGGTGTGGGTGGTAAGTCTGAAAAATGAGTCTGTGTTCGTGGAGGCTTCTCTGTAATTTCTGAAAGCTTTACAGGGTTGCAGCAAAGTTTGGCATATTCACCCCCTAGCCTATGACACAATTCATTAATGATGACATCACAGTCTCCAAGAAGCTCTACATCGAAATGCAGATGAGGCAAAGGTTCTCTATTAATTAATATCTGAGGCACATCATGGGGTATGGAACCTAAAAGTAGAATGAAAAATACCATTAAAAAAGAGGAAATAATCTAATCAAGTAACAAAATACAGCATGTAAAAATTTAACAGGTGCACATATCTATTCTATCCCATTACACATCCATTCTATGCCATTAACAAAATCTATTGTGTGCCAGTATATACGTTTTACATTTAAAAAATAATCTCGCATTTGATCCAGCAATCAACTACGTATATATCCCAAAGAAATATGGGCTACTATATGAAAACACACAGCCACTTATTTACAGTAGTAGCAACTGAAACACTGCAAGTACCCATCAATAGGCAAATGTTTAAATATACTGGTACACTCACAAAATGGGAGTATGCAGCACTAAAAAAAACCTTAGAAGATTCACAAAATGCTATGTAACAGGATACATCTAGGAGGACATTTTACTAAGTGAAATAATTCAATTACAGAAGGACAAACATTAGACCACTGTTACAAAAAGCTAAGAAAAGCTTTAAGAACAGAATCACTCTTGAGTATTACCAAGAACAAGAGGAAAAAGACTAAAAATGAAAGCGGTTAAAAGGCATTTATTAAGATGAGTGATGGGACAGGCAATAAACAGTAAGGAGATGATCAAAAGTGATACTAGGGAAGGAAAGACTGGGAGAAATGGATTTATGGAAATCAAAACAAGAAGTGAGTAAGGGATGACTACATGGTAGACACAAGAATACAACAAATGCATACAAATGGTTACATGAAAATTTGTTTTGTAAACTTCCACTCAAATCACAGGAAAAAGAACTTTATAATAAACAGAATAAAAGTATAAACTAAACTTTGCCTGACTGTTTACATTATCCTCAAAGAAAACTTACAATTTCTCTTCCTTTGAATTAAGATTTAAAAAACCACACAACCCAAAACTAGGGGAGTTTGTACATTAACTACAAACTAAACTATATTCTACTTAAAATGGAATTTCACAGCTATTTAGGGAAGGCAGTGCACTGCTAAAGCCACTAAACTAGGGAGGCAGCAGAAGGCATGTAGGAAAAGAACCTGGGTTTGGTCAGAATTTGAGGAGTTTGACTTCATATTCTTCCAATTGTTTATGCTCTGGCTGCTGATCTGATCTCTGGTGTAGGAACTAATATCTGATTTAAACCAGAACAAACGAACCAAAAACCTCCAGAAACCAAACCACTGGTATCCAGTCCATTCAGACTCCAGATGACCATCCACCAGGTTTCTGAGGAAGGAAATCTTTACAGGGGGAGACTGCTTACTTTCTCACACAGGGCAGATGCTGGATTCAAGCCACTGACGTTCTGACTAGCAGTCAGGTACATTATGTGCCAGAGCTCCTTAGTATCTCGTATCAAGTCAATTCTGATCAGGGCAACCCTCCATTAATTATGTTCAAATGGCTGTAAATGATGTGATGTGATAGCATCTACATCATCTTTCTGCCAATGCAGCTTATGTGCTTAAACTGTCAACCTTACAGTTAGGAGTCTACACTTAACCTTCTGTCACCAGGACTCCTTTGCTCCTCCTCTCACGTAGGGCATTAACTAATGTTACCTATATAATCCCTCCAACCCTCGACTTCTTTCATACTTAAAAGACTCATTGCTCTCAAGTCAGAGCTGCCCCTCAGCAGACTGGGAAACGATAAATCACACAGGAGGTTATAGCCCATCTTTCTGCTGAGCAGCCCACGGGAGGATTCAAACCACCAGAGGGGTACCACCTTTTGGTGAGCACCGCAACTCCCTATGAACTATGCCACCAGAGCTCCAGTAGCTTTCACAACAGGAGAGTGGGAAAGTCTGAAAGTAGATGTTAAATATTCCTGAGAACAGTAAGTACCTAATCGTATTTAGTTATATTAATACATATACACCTATGAGTAAAACAGATCCGCAAACCATCACTACAAGTCATGGCTGTTAATCTTGCAAGCATTTTTTTAAAAATTTTTTTATTTACTTAATTTCCTTTTTTTGTTGTGTACCATCAAACTGTGTATACACACACAATAATTAAAAAAAAACAAAACAGAAACAGGCAAGAAACTGCACTGCAATCCCAATTCTATGGCAATGAATTTGTATACTTTTTTTTAATTGTACAGGAATTTTGCACAACTCATGATACACACACACACACACACACACACACACACACACACAAATGATGCCCTAAAACCACCATCTACTTACTTGGAATTAGTGCTACTGGTCTTACTTTCAAGGAAGACCCAATGACAATGAGGAGATCAACTTCATCTTTGTCATACTTCATGGCTCTATGAAACTGTTCTGGTAAATTCTCACCAAAAAAGACAATCTCTGGTTTCATGATAGCAAGTGGTTCATCAGCTGGGCACCAAGGACATCGAGGAACCACCTGCATTGTATGTTCCAGATTTCGGATGAAGAGCAGAAAGAAAAGAAATCCTAAGTCAAAATGGGAAACAATTTTCACATTTCCTAAGACTACACTTCAGAATTATCAAAGAAACAAAGAGGGTGTGGATAAATGGCAGGGAAAATTCATATAACCTGAATTTCAACTGTTGTTGTTGTTAAGTGCCGTTGAGTCGTATGTGACTCATAGCGACCCCTACTTGGGTGCCTTTCCTCCTCTCTCCAGGTTTGTAGGGTTTCTGGAGGCAAGCTATTACGGAAGTGGATGCCACTCCTCCTTCCAATTTCAACTGTATGCAATCTAAATTTCAGATTAGCTAATAAACTACAGACATCATCCGGTAGAATACTATACCACTTTAATAGTTCTGCAGAACTATTTGTGACATTCAAAAGACGATTATGTTTTAAGAGAGAAAAAAACTAGATTATATACACACAAACATGTATATATGTAAAAATATTTCTAGAAAAAATCTTACTGCTTTACAATTACCTTGTGTTCAGAAGTAGAAGAAATCTACTTAAACACAGACTCTATTCATTGAACAAAAGTTAAATTTCAGTATTTTCAATGCAAAATACAATTTCATCTTATAAGCTAACTTTTCTCTACCTTAGTTATGATTAAGTATACATGCAACTAAGTACATAAGACTTTATTTTTTTAAATTTTCTCACATATTCCTTTCTTTTTGGCAGTGAATCTATTATGAAATACTTTTCAATATTTTTGGAAAGGAGAACTACAATCAATTTAAAATTCCAAATCTAACAAGCACTAAATGGGAAAAATAAGAAAAGACAGTACAGTAACAGCCTGTTTATGACAGTTTTCTATTGGCAGGCTTAACTATAAGGAGCTAACTTCAAGAGACAATATAGAGCAACAGTTCCTAGTTAAGGGATTAAAAATATCTTGTCCATTTACTGGACTTCCCATTGCTAATGCTTTGTTACTGGATCTTTTCACATCACACAAAGACAATTTAGAGGCCAAAAAAAGGTGACAAATAACCTGATTAAAAATATCTCCTCGTACAGCTTCACAGTCAACTTTGTATTTACAAATCAGGCAAGACGCGGTTGCAAAGGAACCTGGAAACAACATATGTAAAGTTTTATTAAAGAAATACTTCCATTACTTATACATTCACATTTATGAACACAAGGATAGTTAGAGATGCTCCATAATTTACAAAAAGACTATACACACAAAAAAACCAAGATGAAGAATTTTTTAAAAAAAACAGCTGACAAATATTTAAATTGTAAAAGAATCAAGTTCTCAATTGCTGGGACACTGATATAATGAACTCTCCATTAAAGTTGTTGTTTTAAGAGAAAACAACCACTAATTCCTTGCTTCAACAGTTTTGTTCTTAAAACACAATAAATATGTATGCATAAACAACTCCCATAAAGCAAATGTCACAAAACATTTGTTTGACGAGTAAGTCATACAAATAAGTAAGCATTCCAATGTATATAAAAGTTACATTTACTTTAAAAAGTTATGTTTATAATGTAGTCTATTAAACAGGAAACAGCATTATGAAAAAAGAAATACTGAATTACTAAAACATATGACAGATCCAAAGTGAACTCATGTTGTTGGAAAATGGCACTGACAGATGTACTCAATGCATGGATACCACAAACCTTCCACTTTACAAAAGAAACCACATGCATGTGAAGCATAGTAAAATGAGGTATGCCTGTACACAGATAGTAATTAATGGTTAAACTACTGGTTTTTTATATATATACTTGAGTCCATTATTTAGATAATAACTGAAACTCTTAAAAATTTTAGAATCTTTTAACATCTACATTCTATGTATTCCTTTAGTTTTATAAACTAAAGAAGTCATGTTTTTCCACATATAATCAATAGTCAGGAAAAGTTGTTTGAAAGAATTTAATGGTGTACAATTGCAATGCCTTTTTAAATGTAAAGAACATTAATATTTGATGTTTCACAATTATATATCAAGGCTCAGACTCCTGGCTTTCTGTGTGTGTGCATTCTACTCTTTGTTCATCTACAGTTAAGATAGTATGAGTAAATAATACTACTTTAATCTCTGTCCCTTAGTAGCAGGGGATTTTCAATTATCCTAATTATTATTATTATAACACTAATTAAATAAATGACAAGAAAGTATTTTGAAACTTACTAACCATGACACTGAATTATCCTTTGGATTCCTGCAACTTGCTCCAGTGTATCTATGTTCTGAGTATAGTTGCGAAGTAGTTTTCCTTCCTTATCTGACAAAGCTATAAATCTGTGACAGAGAGATGGCTGGAACTGGCCCGGGTATATTTCCTATGTAATACCACAAAAAAAAAAAAAGGTTTTACTTTAAAGAAATAAATACAGGTAAATTGTTTAAGTTAAGCAAAGAAACTTTTTGAACCAGTAAAACTACGGCTCAAATATAATCTTTAAAATAAGCATTTTAAAACATCTAGATGTAAAAAAAGAAAACAAAAAAAAACCCAAACATCCAGATGTAACACATATATATACATTTTTACTATATATAATGCACAAAACTCATTAATTCATCAACTTAGCCCCTTGAAGAATCATAAGATTTCGAACACAGAACAGATATTTTCATTAGTCACAATTAACAGACACTTCATCATTTACCTAACTTTTGTTGGCTGCAAATTCAGATTTCTTTTTTTTAATGGAAAAAGTAGAAACTGAAACAACACATATGAAAAGAGATGGTAAAAGGCTCTTCTTAAAACTAGGGGAGGAAAGTAGGAATTTTTTTTTTTAAAAAAAGTCTCTCTGATTTATCTTTCACTGTCAATACCAACCTGCTGGAAGTTGAAAGCTAAAGTTTTAATTCCTTACCAAAATGGTTTTCCTTCCACTCTGCACAGGCACATACTGGTATAGTATAGAGTTGCTCATGAATGCTGAGTTGCTGGATTTGTGTGTGTGTTTTCCCCCCAAATAATGCTTCAATGCTGTTTCTTCTTTAAAAACAAAGAATTCAAATATACACATGGCAAAAATACCAGAGAGAAAGTATCAATTTTGGTCCTCTCAATGTCAGAATGGTTTTTTGGTCTTAAAAACTTCATTTTAGTAAGTGACTATGACAAAGGAAGTTTCTTCTGTACTTTCTTACTAAAAGTAGCCGTGCTAGGTACTTACTTCCTTACCATTCATGACATGCTCTATCTTATTAAAATGCCAGCAAAAAAACAAACTATAACCAGCAAGACAAACTGGTTGTATAAACAAGGTACAACCATAATAAAATATACAGCCACTTAAAAGTATGAATTTCTAGATACAATGACCTGACAAATAGAAGTTAATCATCACTGTGTATCATTTGTACTATTAAACAAAAATGGATATTATATGTACATGAAGAGAGTTATGTCCATAAGTAAGATAAGGAAGGATACAAGCAATCTGTACACCAAAGTGGGGGAACTTTCCCTTCTGATACTTTAAAGAATTTAGTTTAATAATAAAAAATTTGCCTACTTTATAAAATAAAAAAAATTAAGGTTTATTATGGATGGTGAAGAGACTGAGATTGTTCACCGCTTTAGTTTGCTTGGTTCCACAGTCAACAGTCTTGGCACCAGTAGCCAGGAAATTAAAAGACGTATTGCGATGGGAAAGTCTGCTGTTAGGGACCTCTCCAAAGTACTGAAGAGCAATGGTGTCTCTCTGAGGCTAAGGTGCATCTGATACAGGCCATGGTCTTTGTGATCACTTGTTATGCATCTGAGAGTTGGACAATGACTAAGGAGGACAGAAGGAGAATTGATGCCTTTGCACTTTGATGCTGGAGAAGAGTACTGAGGGTATTGGACTGCTGGAAAACAAATAGATTCATCCTGGAAAGGGTTAAACCGGGCAGCTCCTTGGAGGCAAGGATTCTGAGGCTCCATCTAACATACTTTGGACATGTTGTGAGGAGAGATCGGTCCTTGGAGAAGGACATCATGCTTGGTAGGGTGGAGGGACGGTGCAGGAGAGGAAGGCCCTCTATGAGGTGGATTGATTCAGTGACTGGGATAATTGGGATGGGAGTGTCAGAGACAGTGTGATTGGTACAGGACAGAGCAGAGTTTAGGGCTGTTGTACATAGGGTCGCTATGAGTCGCAAGCGACACGACGGCACGTAACAACAACATTTAATATCCTTATTTTTAAGAATTTCTATCTACTACTCAGGATCTCTTAGTTAAAATTTTTAAATAAACAAATGCTGCTTTTATATAGCATTTTAAAAAGCTTTTATAAAAAAATTATGTGCAACAATGGAAACCCAAAGTCTGTAAATTTTCATTGAAATTAATAATAAATTTTAAAAAATTACATTAGATTGTATACAAAAGTTTGTATACATTGTGTTTCACATTATCATTCATTCACATTGTATATCATACAATCATTCTCATTCATTATATTTCATAAAATTAATCACCATTGAATTATTCCCACCATTAGTGTGTCTTTCCAGATCCCCAGGGATCTTTCCCATTTCTGTTAACCCCCTCCCTTCACTCACCAAATTGTGCAACCCTGTGATTTCCTCCTGCCCACCCTCTGCTCCAATCCCTTCCCCTCTTGGATCCTCATAGATGTTTTACTAGTTACCCTATAACTTTGTAATTTAAGAAAGGGTGACTCTGGTGACTCTGCAGGAAGATTATAAAGTATAAAAGTCAATGCTCACAGAAAATCACATTTGCCATTTGAAGCAGAATTTGATGAAGGGCTCCTCCCACAGAATGATCAGTATTTTGAGAAGAGTTTGTGATATTATCAACCACAGCTTCACCTGAATGGTTTGTTGCAGGACATTTATCCTAAGGAGAGTGTAGGCAGCACAAAGATGTGTGTGATGCTAGATTCCGCTCTATACTCATTTGCCCTCATGTTCAACTCAGTTTCAAAACGTAAAAGAACTAGGAGCCAATTCCCGTATTCAGAGATAACCTATAAAAAGCTTTTCTATTTTATGTATTACAATCTAAATAATTTTAATTTCTTTTTCTTTCAAATATGAAGCAGGCTATGTCTGAATTATTAAATACAGTGTTCAAACTCTGTAAGGTCTTAAATAAAAGAAAATATTGCCATGGAAGAACTGTCTTGATAGAAAACATTCATACTGCAGGCTCTTAATGTGAAAAATCTGCTAGAAACTAAAAGGATGGGGATAAAATGTTCAAATAGCTATGGCTCAATTCTTCTGTGTTGAAGAATTCTGTGTTAAAAGAGACATTAGACATGCAAGACCTGTTTTAAGATAGACCATGCCAGATCTGAACATTCCAGAACTCTCCTCGGGAATCAATCCCATGGCTGGGCCATTCTGTTATTGCCAAAGATCTTTCCAGATTACAATGCAACTGTTAATGACTGGAAAGACTATAAAAAGCGACCCTATTTTAAAACTCAACTGTTTCCAGAAACACGCAAACAATCTAAGAGCCAGCAATGGGCAACTAAATGTCATCAGAAGCAATCCTTAGAACTCTCACCATAGTGAGGTTTTGAGTAGAAATACTGGCTCTCCTCCAGAGATGCTAATGCTACTTCTGCTTCCAATCTTCTCAACGTTATGTTTCCTATCTATATATACTGGATTCTTTTTTTTAACCAAAACACAGCTGGATTTGTCCTATACAGAAAAAAATTTGCTTATTCCTAGGCTCCTAAGTGAACTGGATTTAAAAATAAATAAATAAAAAATAATGCAGTTAGATTTCTTTGTCAGATGACTTTTACTTCTCAGAATTAAGTTTTATTAGGTAGGAAATGAATATCGAAGTGGTTTTGTAGAATTGATAAGACAATGCAGTATTGTACAAGAACGTTAAATATAAAAGTGAACTGGGGGAGGGAGGATGGGGTAAAATATGCAACAATGAATGAAGAAAAATCTAACTTTTCAGTAAACTTTAATTAAAATCACTATTCAAATAAAAAATTTTATTCAAACAAAACCGCAACAGCTGTCAAAGGCTGGGTGGAAACACAGGCCCTTACCAATGAAAGGATTCAAGTTTTAGAGCTATGACTGTTTGCTAGTAACAACCATTCTTCTACAGAACAGAAAACTGGTAAGAAATTACAACCTAAATTCTCTATACTGCCAAAAAAGGGGTGGAAATGAAATAGATCAAGCCTGGTTAAGGAATGAACACCCTTAAAATCACTTTGTTTCTTTTATTCCACAAAACCACTTTGTGTTGTTGTCAGTGCCATCGAGTCGCTTGCAACTCATAGCGACCCTATAGACAACAGCCCTAAACCTCATAGAGGGCATTCCCCTCCTGCGCCATCCCTCCACCCTCCCAAGCATGATATCCTTCTCCAAGGACCGGTCTCTCCTCACTACATGTCCAAAGTATATTAGACGGAGCCTCAGAATCCTTGCCTCCAAGGAGCCACCCGGTTTAACCCTTTCCAAGACAAATCGGTTTTCCTAGCAGTCCATGGTATTCTCAATACTCTTCTCCAGCACCACAGCTCAAAGGCATCAATTCTCCTTCTATCCTCCTTGGTCATTGTCCAACTCTCTGATGCATAACAAGTGATTGCGAAGACCATGGCCTTCATCAGACGCACCTTAGTCTCCAGAGAGACACCACTGCTCTTCAGTACTTGGAGGGGTCCCTAACAGCAGACTTTCCCATGGCAATGCGCCTTTTAATTTCCTGGCTGCTGGTGCCAAGACTGTTGACTGTGGAGCCAAGCAAACGAAAGCTGTGTACAATCTCAATCTCTTCACCATCCATCCTGCTGCCAACTGGTCCAGTGGTGACAATCTTTGTCTTCTTGACATTAGCCTCAATAATAAACTATTAATTTCCTACCTAATAAAACTTTGATACATAAAAATTTAGTCATATAACAAAGAAATCCAAACTGCATTAAAAAATAAAAGTCCAAATCACTTGGGAACCCAGGAATTAGCAAACTTACTTCTGCAGGTTTTGCAGTTCTCTATTCTATTATTTAAACCTGTCCCAAGATGGTTTTGAAATTCTTTACCATAAAGGTGTCAATCAAAGCTTCCACATTTTTAAGAAACTGTAAAGAATAAACTATATATTGTGTGACCCTTTTTCAAAATAGGTGATTTTATTTTTGCTATCTAGCTCTTTATAAAGAAAGTTGGTTGTGTTTGTTTTTTCTTTTAATTTGAAAAAAACACAAATTCTATTCGCCACTAGAGTCAGGAAGTGGAAGAACTATATGTAATACTCTGTTCTTGATCCCTCACCTCAAATTTTCTACTTTCAGACGAAGCATCATCTTTACATTTGATT